TTCCTATATGAGATAACTGGCTAGGTAGCCACCTGACTGTCTACGTGTGTATAAGTTTACTCTGGGGTTGATTGTCGGTTCGGTGTTGATTGTCGTTTCGGTGTAGGCTAACTCGCTGCTGAGGTAACCTTATTGTCCGCTTCACGTTCAGTTCCGGCTGTATACATCGGCAGCCACTCCAGTTACGATTTTCGAGCCGTCCGCCATTTAATTTTTTCCATATTTTTCCAAGTTCACGAGATCCTCTGCTTTCGACTGCTGTCTAAAACAAACTCAATGAAGGAGTTGACTTAAAATTTTACAGTACACTACTAACAGTTGGTTCTTGACAGGAGCAGTGTGTTGCACTAGCACTAAAAGTTAATAGACAGGAAAGTAAAAAAAAAAGTAATTGCCTTATCAAACTGCTCTCGTACACACCCAACAGTTCATGGCGATGCCGGTGTTGCTAGCCGATCGGATTGTGCACCGGTCATTGCAGCACAATTGCATGCACGCCATGCTGTCTAGGCTGGATGCGGTTTTGTATGCAAGTGTATATGTGTGTATGTATGTAGGCAAGAAATGTATGTATATGCATGTGCACTTATTTATGTATATATATAGTATAGTACTTTCGTGTGTATCTGCGGGCACGTACGCCAGTTTTTGCAAATTGGTTGCCGCACTTCATTTTCATATATGTAAGTGAGAAATGTGATAATTATTCAAATTACATATATACAATGAGATTAATTGAAAATCCCTAGGCATAAAAAGTTTGATTCATCAAAAAGCAAAAAAAAAAAGATAAGTTGGAACATGATACTGACGATTATAAATTGTTAACTTTTGTCTATAAATTATTAAACAATGTGATAATTAAATGCATATATCATTAAATAAGTAAGTAGTAAAGTTAGCAGGTAGATCGGTGTGGCTGTAGCTGATAGGCAGCGTCACTTTTAGGCCTAAAGTGGAAGGTTAGTTGTGAAATCCGACTACACTAAGAAATTTCATTCCCTCTTTTTCCAAGCCATTAAGAGGCTCTGTTAAATAAATCCTATAATCCCGTAGTGTCTATGGCCCACCTATTGCGCGAAACGCACTACATTTCGCATCAAATTTAATACGAGAGATTTATCTAGCCTAACTGCCGTTTACACAGGACACTGGGCCCAGGTAATCCGTGCTGCAAGACTACTAAAACTGGAGCACAACCTTCCTTATCGTGGCTACAGTTCAGCAGAATTGCGAGTTGTGGTTTTCAAATGGCACTTATGTATAAGTGTTAATAGAATTTGGACATAAGTCAAAAATTGTACGCTCTAATAAAATATGTTCATTAGCGATTCCGTTCTGCAGTTATAATTATCTTGAAAATGTCACTACACCATCAGATTAACGAAGTCACACGATAGCGAGTCGCTTCGTCTGAAATCTGGTTTGGTATTGAACGGCTAGAAGATTTGCTTCCAAATTCTGACTTTGCTGGGGGTTTTGGTAAATGGGAATACCAAATTTAGACAGCCTAAGCAAAAGCTAGCGGTGACTGGTTCAAAATTGTCGCTGGTCTTAGAAATATTGCCCTCACGGGTATATCAATCACTGGATTGCCGTGCTTGGTCTTACGCGAGTTCGCACGGGTCTGAAAGCCTTCAGTAAATCGCATAACTCTCAGATAAAATTGTTGCGCGTTTTTTTTCTGTCGGCCAGTTAAACACTGCTCCTCGCGCTCACGTATTTCCGCCTTTCTCTTCTTATTACTTACTTTTATTTAAGTTTTGCTTTCCTCCTCATCTCCCTTCATCATTCGCAAATAACTCTTGTTTCCCTTTAGGCAGCAGTATTTTGTAATTAGTAGTATGCCCGATAATCACGACCCCCATCAACGAATTGGATAGCAGTGGTTTTGTCCAACGCCATTTAACATCAGCTTTTTTTTATATCTCATAATGAAATTATTCTTATGACAACTAGTGAGGGCCAAATAGTCAACCAACTAGCACTGAACCAAACTACTTTTAACTATTTTTTTTTGTTGTACAAAATCACTTTAAAATGCTTAAACGTTAGCCGGCGCGTTGTTGCCGCCAAGAGCGAGCAATGCCTTATCAGATTATCAATGATTGGTATGGTTGGAGACAGGGCCGGATTAACATGGGTGGGTGCACAAGGGCCAGAGGAAATGTGAGGGCCCTACCGCGATTACCTACAGATTAAATGTAATGCGTTTCCTTTAATTATCGACATATCACCAAAAAGTGCAACGAAATGTATCACGTGATTTATGGACACCCCTAATTTACTGTCTCGGCTATTCGTTGACTTGCCGGAAAGTTAGTTCAAGCTAAACTTGTAAAAGTAAAGTAAAAGCTTGAAGAAACAACAAAAATATGTTAAGCTTTTTATAACGTTTTTTTTCAACGTCAGCGAAACTAAAGAATACGAGCATGGTGTCTGGCATAAAAGATTCTTTAAGATTTTACCAAAAATTTAGATGACAACACGTTTTTGAATTTTTCAAACAACTCATGGATGATCATGTGGGCCCCTTCAACGTGGGGGCCATGAGCGCAGTACGTCGTCCTATGCTTTAATCCGGCCCTGATTGGTGGTATGCGTAAGCGCCAGAAATTTAAAATTATACATATGTATGTGTGTGTGTATGTGTATGCCTGTTAATAAATATGTTGTATATATCATCACCAGAAATACAGATAACCGTAACTAATTTTTTTTTTATAAAACGATATGTGGAGCTGTAATTCGATGAAAAGCCTTAAAATCAATAAGTTCGTAAATCTTGGATTTTTTGTTTAACGGTCTTTTGCAATTCATCTGGTAATGATCCTCCCTCTACGATAATACTAAAAGGTGCCGCATCAATCGTTTATTTTTAACACATACAAAAATATTTCTTTATTTTTGAGGTCTATATTTCATATTATGCAGTCTCAGATTCTTGAAATTTATGAACTATCCTTTTTTAATCGGTTTTATTTAGCTTGCCCTGTTTGGGTAAAATCTAGTATATAATTCTGAAACAAAAATTTGATCTGAAAAAATGTGCTTAAAGGGCACATCAATTTTAAAAGCTACTTCAGAAAAGGCACTAATTCTGACTTAATCCTGGAGTACTAGAACAAACTAACTACTCGCGCTGCTGTAAAACGAGGCGTGAGCGAATGCAACGCGAAAGTTCTACAATGTACATATAATATACTACATATGATATATATACATATGTACATACATATGTTTATATATAAGTATGTATGTATGTAGCTGGGCCTTAAAAGTTAGCCGGCTTGACGTACATATGTCTATATGTAGCTCTGAAGAGCGAGTAACGCCTTATCAAATTTATCAATGCCTCGGATGGTTGGAGATATGCGTAAGCTCCAGAAATTGACGATTACATGTATTTAAGTAAGTATGTATGTATGTGTATATCATATATGCCTCTGTTAATAAATATGTACATATATACATATGTATGTATGAATTTATGTAAATATACCGACATAAATATATGTACATATGTATATAAATTTGTATAAGTTACGCTCAGCTCAGCTCAATCTTAGTACATACATACATAAGTATATTTGAAAGAGAGAGTATTACTGCTCGGCTATCGCAGCGATCTGTCGTCGCTTAATCATTTATTTTATTTCTTGTTAAAGAATAAATTTATGCTTTGGCGTTGCCACCTCAATATTATCACTGCGTAGGGGGATTTATTCTCTGTATTTACTTAGTTTCACTGAGAAAGTGGTAGGACATTATTTCCTACAAAAAAAATATGCTCAAAACGAATATACGAAGAAAATTACAGTTGGTTTTACGCCTCCTTGGAAAGGGTGAATGTGTATTTATGCTACCAATTGAGCTAAGTTTAACAGTAAAATTTTTAAAGGTAAACCTAGATTTAAAAATCAGCTGATCGCGGTAAGTAGATTGTCGGCATTGAAAGTAAAAAAAAAAAATCTGCGGAAAGAATACGAAGATATTTCCGCATCCTAATCACCAATGCAATCATCGCGAAAGGGGCTTAAAGTATTTGGTATCGAATCGTACCCAGGCACACCAAGAGAAGTGACACCGTTTACATCGACAAGAAAATTAAGCTTGGCTTGAAAATTAATTCTTGGCTGGCGATGTCACCGCATAGACGATACAGAATACAGCACTCAGGCTAGACTACTGTACTCTTTCTTTCATTGGTGGCTTTTTTAACCTGGCGACTCCCAAGCCTAGAGCACAATCCATAACTGGGGGTTCGCCTTCTCATATAAGCTCGCTACCGAACGCGTGTTCGGTTGATAACCAGAGAATATTTAAGTAGTGTAAACACTGGAAGTCGTTAGCTGCTTGAAACGGACGAAAAATAATAAACTTTTTTCACCACTTTTGGGTAAATGGCGCACAAAAAACTTTCCCCGCATGCGTGGACTTTTTTTTATCGGTGGCTCAGCCTTCACTTGAGCTTTCTTGTAGGCCTCCACGATTAGAGGAAACATGACTGTACTTCCGCCCTCTCATATGGTCTGATTTCTTCTGATCTACTCGCTAGAAATCTTGAGGTGATTATCTTCATATATAGGTTTTCTAAATTAGTCCCCACACATATGTACNTTACAAACATTCAAAAATCGTTGGCAACACTGCTTGCCTTGCCAATGTACAGGTTAGCCGCTCGACAAGTCACACAGTGCGATCGACATCCGACGTTGGGGCAGTGAGATAGTGAGACCAACAGCCAAACGATTACTTCGGAATGCCCCCATTGCGACGCGCCACCGCCGCCTGCACGACAAACACACGAAGTTCATTCAAACCAAAGCAAACCAAAACCACAAACTCAATTACCGAACAGTAAACCAATCACATTCAAGTAAGAAGAGCGGGAGAACGCTGATCGACCAACACTATTGGCAGCGCCGTTGCAGTGCCGCCGTCAACGTCGAACAGCGCCAACAGCGGAGAGAGCAATGCTATAAATTGCAACGAAGGTAGTAAATTCAATCAGTTCTGTTACAGTTTTCAGCTGTAAAACATAACTTCTGAGATTTAGAAGGTTACCAAAGTGTATCTACAAGTTAATAAATATCTGCTTCTTCGTTGAGCCTAAAGCATTTCAAAGTAAAAAATAATAAAATTTCAATTGCAATCGCGAAAAACGTGTGATCGTTAATGTTTCAAAATTTGTTTGTTTAATTGAGCGCATTATATTTCCGCCAATTGTTTGCCGTGCAAAAGACGTAATCTGTAATGTCCACTTTTTACTGTTGCAAGGCAATCGAACGTGTCGTATATCGTGTGACTAAGTGTCAACAGGAACAACAACAAAAAATCTAATACTCTTAAAAAAATTGTAACACATACAAGAAAAAAGTGTGAATCACAAGACCAACCTTGAGAGACTTACGAGAAACCACAGCAAGATCGGCCAACGAGTTTAATGAAATCATAAAACAATCAAACAGCCAGCAAAAAAAAAAAACAAAAACTTTGTCAAAAACCTGCGCTAATTTCAACGAATAGGAATTGAGATAATCCAGAGCCATAAATTGCTTAGACACCGCTGTACCACTAAAGCTTTCCCACCAAAGCACACACTCACGCATCAGTTATCCTGAATTTTTTGTGAAAAAGCGACATAACGAGTCCCATCAACGGATCCACAGCGTGCACAGGAACGGCAGCAAAATTTCGTTAACAGCGCGAATATACTTTGCCAAAACGGAGTCCATTCGGGGACCTATGACATCGCAAAGCTATTTATTGTTATTACTGAAAATCAATTCAAATCAACAATCAAGAACTCAACATAATCTAGAGGTGATAAATTCATTCATAACATAACACGAGCACAGTTAATTTCGGAGTTTCGCAAGATCAAGAATAATAAGAAAAGTGTGAACACGTACAAATTAGCTGCTGACCGACATTTGCCTGAGTGCCTGCCTACCTGACTCACTGTCTGTCTGCCGAATACAAAAGAGGAGAAAGAAAATAAAAGCGATATAAAGAGTGTGAGAGAAACCAAATTTTTTGGTGCAAACAAAAGCGAAAAAGAGTTTTATCCTGAACGCAATCAGTGAAATCATCCTTGAAGAAAATTTTTTGAATTCTGCAATCATTCACCGAAGGAAAAAGAAAAAAATTAATGTGAGTACATATTTGAGTGTGAAAATTGATAAGATATGATTGTTAAAAGAAAATGAAGAGGATTTTGGGGAAAATATTGAAGAAAGGGCGCGGTTGAAAGCGAAAGGGATGATTAAGTCATTTAAAAAATATGAATTAAATTGATTTCAAATCATGCAAGAGGCTGTAACAAAACTGCATTCAAAAAAGTGCAGCAAAATATTTAAATTTTCTATAAATTTACTAAATATAAATCCATTCACAAAGATAAGAGTAGATATAGTTTGAAAGAAGAGAAGAAATTTAGGTGATTCACAAAGGTATTTAGTTCGTATTTAAGACTATAAAATTCTTAAGAGGATTTGAAGGCACAAACAAATACTTCTGTAACAGTGAGAAAACGATTACGATTACTATTATACCTTATGAACTTCCCAAATATATTTTAAGACTTAAAAAGTTTACGACATCAACACCACGACGCTTACGATTCCCTTGTGAATACCCCGAATGCTTTCAGTAATATATTCAAAAATTAGAGCTTCAAAAAATTGTATAATGCCGGATTTCCACTATACATTAAATGACAAAAATTTGTATGAGAAAGTGGGGCAATAAATTATAACCGTGTCATAAGCTTCAAAGAATCTCCAATTACTAATTTTTCGAAGTCGTTTTTACATAACAGTTTTTAAATCGCATAAGTTTTTGGGCATTCAAGGCCTAGTGAAAATTCGACATATTATGAATCTGCCTTGCCATTTGGTCTGATTTTATTTTTGTTCATTTGCCATTGGAAGCGTTGAGTAAAAATTATTTTGATTTTTAGAAAAGCGCTTTAAGAAAAATTCCACTTGCGCGTTTTTCGAAAATATGAAAAAATTAAAAAAAAATTTAGAGGTTCGAAAGGACAGAAAAACTTAAAATTTTCATTCATCTTAAGGCAACATAAGGGATAAGCGAAAAAGAAAATTTGCATTAAAATATTTTAAATTTCATTTTTAATTTGTATTTGGTTAATATTAAAAAAAGTATAATTAGCAAATTTTTAAATATTAAAAGAACTACAGAACCTTGTTAAAAATATTTGTTTTAAGTTGTTTTAAAAACAAGAACCTTAATTATTTTTAAAAATTGCATTAAAAAAAATTTATTACAGTTTGAATTTATTTAAAAACTATTTAGCCGTTTGCCTAAAACTCCATGAAGTTGAGAATCTGAAGTTTGAAAAAAAAATATGTGTGTGAAATATTTTGACAGTTCAGTGAGATTCCCAAAATTTTCCATGTTTTCGGAACTTTCGGTTAATTTTTATAATATTTTTCGCTGTTTTGAAATTAAAAAAACTCCAAACGCTTAAAAAATCTATATACTTATACATATATATATATTTTTTTAATTTACAAAAAATAAAATGTATAGGTTTTAAAAAAGGTACCTGAATAATTTTAGTTCTCACCTCTTTCAAAAAGATTCACAATAAAAAATTCGATGCTAAAAATGCTGTAATTTTTTTTTTGTTCTTAAATAGATATGTTTTATTACTCATCCATTGTCGCGTCGCAAAATCTAAACGCTCGTTGAACTCGTGATTTAATTTATTACTTTGTATATTTTCTTGTTTTTCTTCTATTTTTCGATAGTCTTTCTGTATTCAAAATTAGGGCGCATAAATCTTAAGAAATAATTAAAAATAAATTTAAATAAATACACTATTAAAAAAAAAACTTAAATTAATGCTCAAAAATCTCAATGGTTTTTCCCAATTTCCAATGACTAGAAGACACACATACATTAGTAATTTCTATTTTACCGCTCATCAATTTCCTATATCAAAAAATTGTCTGATGCAACATTTTCTAGTATTTGCTCAAACAAAAGCAAAAAGTAAAAAATACAAAAAAAAAACGAAACAGAATAAATGACAAAAACCTCAACTTGACACCCGATTCGATTTATGTGTTTAATATACAAATATGGGCAAAGCTGAAGTGAGTAGACAGACCGTCGATGAGTTGGCCAGACAGGTAGCGATTAAAAGAAGAGCTATTTAGTAGCGTTAAGCGGCATTGAGTGAGCGATCACCTCAAGTATGGACATTTGTTTAAATAGAGCACCTACCATACACTTGAGGTGAAGTGGGTATGCAATTTATTGGAATCAGCAGCACACATACATACACACATACATATGTGTACAGTATGTATGTATAAATATTACATCGTTCACTCACATCAGACGCTCCAATAATTTATAAAGTGAAAAAAAAACATTTTATTCAACCAGACACTGCAATGCGTTGGACTTTATGTACATCAGGACGGGTCGACAAAAACACAACATTTTTTTATATCTGTTGTATAGGTCTTAATAGGTGCTCCCCTTATTCTTGAAAAAAAAAACTTGGTTCTCTGCGACTGGTTTTTACAACGACTGGTGTAGATTAAATCCGGAACTTATTTCCTATCATAAAATCAAAAAAAAAAATTTTTCAAGCTCATTTCGCAAACTGAATATATTGTCGCAGAGAACCCGGATTTCTTTTCAAGAATAATTATTCACTTATTATTAAGACCTATACAATTTTCGTATCAAAAATTTTGTGTGTTTTCGACCCGCCCTAATGTGCATATATACATACATATGTACTTACCTATGTCGTTATTTCACATTGTCACTGTTGCTAAATTTAAATGAGCAACAGCTTTTTTCCACCAGCTAAATGAAGAAATTGACGTCACTATGCTTTTTTTTTTGCTTGCTACCTTGTGGTGAAATATGCGTAGCACTTGGTTGATACCTTGGCCAAGAAATTAGACGTTGTCTATGTCTAGCAATTTGTTGCGGCATATACTTGTGGCGTATTCATTAACTGAATTAGTCGTCGAAAACTTGCTGTGTCTGTTCTAATTCTAATTTTGTAGAATCACAGCATTTATTCATTCATTAATTCAACAGTTGACACTAAATTTATGTATGTATGTACGAGTATGTACATATGTATGTGGACATATTTGTATGTGCATATGTTTAAGTGCCTAAAAAGAAGCATATTTTATGGCGAGCGAACACTGTTGGCGAACTCTAACAAGAGCAAAACAAAAAAAAACGAAAAATTACACTAAAGAAACCAGAACGTCAAAACCGGTTTGTCTCCAAAACAAATTTGACAAGCAATGACGGAAATTCACTCCAAAATGCACCAATAAAAATAATTGCTTGTACAAATGTATGTATTTTATTCAATATCTTTTGACTAAAAAATTTGTAGAATGGGGCCTTATTTACTTTATATGTAGTGGATTTAGTTTTATCTAACAGCCATATACATTAGGGTGTTGATTAAAAAACAGCAACATCTAAATTTTGTATTTTTCTACGCACAAAATAAAGACAACTAAGAAAATTTCGGAATTTTAAACAAAAAAGGGATTGAAAAATCTTGATAAAAAAATCGCAAATATTATAAAACATAGGGTAAATTCATAAACTCGCTGAATTATAGCCGGTGAAATTCTATATTTTGTCGAATTTTTGCGATTTAAAAAAATTAATTTTTGTAAATTTTCGTTGATGTCTTTATTTTATTCATAGAATAAAATAATGTTGTGTCTACACACAAAAATTTGATGCTGATATTTCTAACGGCCAGCCTAATGTACAAAAATATAATGTACAGAAAATTTGGATGCTGGTATTTTTAAGGACCACCCTAATATACAAAAATATAATTTACACAAAATTTGGATGCTGGATTACAAGTTTAGCTCCCCCTGAACTGTTCCTTTTTAAATTGCAACAAAGATCTGAATCTACGAATAACGAATTTTCAAAGAAAATCATATGATTTGATTGGTACGAATTCGTAAAGAAATTTTTGTACGACTTTTTAAAGAAAGTTCTGAAAAAAAAATTTGAAAAAAAATTACACATCGCAGCATTTTATTCAATAATTTGTAATTTTTCTGCTGAAATTTCGTTTTCATTTTATTTTTATTTTTTTCAAAGTAAAACGGAAATCGCGATATTGTCAAAATTATGGAAAGCATGAATGGAGCTTAGAAAAGTAATTAAGCAGAATTGATAACATTTACACAGTACCACTACAAAGCAAATTTCAAAGACTCTTCCACAACAGTTGTCTGACTTATTGAGAAATCGAATATGTACATATTTTATAAAAGTTTATAGCGCAAGCTAACACTGCAAATTAGTTGAAAATTAAATATAACATTAACAAATCTAATACTTTTCTCAAGGCTATGTCGAAACCTGAGTACATACATACATAAGTATGTATTCACAGTCCATGGTCCACAGATTTTTGTCGATTACTATTTGGTTAGCGCGCGAATAAAGACGCTCATTAATAAGCTCAGATAAGAAAATGCGAATTAGTGATGTGCTGAGTCGTTACTTTTATGTATTGATCGATATTCGGTACCGATTTAAAAAAGTATCCAATACTTTCGATACTCGGTACCGAAATGTTGCAATTTCTAATAACCAAAAATATGGAAAATAATAGCACTTCTGGGGAGCCTCGCCTATGAATAGCCGTATCTAGGGGCTAATAGTGGTTTTAATGCCGAGTAGAACGATGGTAGTTATGCCATTAAAAATCTGGATGGGAGTTTCTTTAAAGCTTCATAAATTTAAATTTCCCGTTGTCCAAAAATATACGAACTGGAAGTATTGGGTACCGACATTTTTTTTGTTTTGGAAGTATTGGGTACCGACAATTCACCACATCACTAATGCGAATTCATTTTTAAAACAGTTTCGTATTCCATTGAAATGCGCATCATTCGCTTAACGGAACTACGTGAAAGTATCAATGTCTGACACATTAAATCAAAAAAAAAAAAAAAGATTATAACATTTCATATCAAACAAATTAATAATTAATGGTCGTAAATTTTATATACTACTAACCCATATTAAATATGTGTGATAATTTGTACGATCATTATGTATGATCATTAATTCAAAAATCTATTAGCTAACACATAAAAATTAAATTTATAGCGCGCATAAAAATTGTGGTGAGGATTGTGATTGAGAGGCAAATGCACATCGACATACATATGTATGTAAATACATTAGAACATACCAATTTAGAAGCAAAAAATTTCAATTTTTCGTTGACACTTACATATGTGCATCCGGCAATAAACATTTTTTTTTTAAATAGTTTTACCGGAATAAACGAAATACTAACTTAGCAACAGTTTAATGATTTTAAAGTGTTTAAAACTGAGATCTGCTGGCTTAGTACTAGAACAGGGTACTTGAAGTTAATGAACTTTGCAGTTGAAATTATTGTATGATTAAAGAAACGAAATTACCCTCTTAAGACAAAAACATCGATGTACATATTTATCATACTTTAAATTCCGAAGATATGACAAAAAATTTAAGAAGGTGATGCCTACGTTCGGCAAAAGAAAAGTCGAAATAATCTCGCAAAAATAATTCATTAGGGTGCCTCACCAAAAAAAAAAAATATTATAAATCGCCTTTGCCACTGGAGCTATAAGGTTTATTACATTTTAAGACTTCCGCCGAAATATTTCTTTAAAATTTTTGGCCCATGTGAAAATACTTAAAAAAATCTCATTACTCTGATTCCGTTGATAAAATGTTTAAACATTTTTGTGCAAATCTTTTTTCTATGATATATGGTGATTTTTTTTTGGAAAAATGTAATGCCGAAATGTAACTTCAGTATAAGGGTATAAAAAAAGTGCTTTCAAATAAAATTATTCTGCTTTATCCTGAGTTTCGCCTGAAAAAAAAATCACCCGAAAATTTGAAAAGTGAACCGGTTGGGGGGAAATTAAACTCATGATAAGGCTGACTATAAAAAAGTAAGAAAATGTACATATGTATATTTCTAGGCATTTTTTCAATTTCAGTAGCGTATCTACCAGCTCACTAAGAAAGCTTTTTCTTGTACAAATGTATGTATGTATGCTGCTAAAGCAGAAAAAAATTTGTTTAATTTGCACATTTAATTTCAAATTTGCACTTTCATGAAAGTATTTAGTTTTTTAACACTTGTCATAAATTTTGTACATCCATGCATACATATGGACATTAGGGTGGTCCAAAAAAACCAAAGTCGGAATTTTAATGCGCTCACCTCCTAGCATTGTTCTATTTTATTTATTTATTTATTTATTTTTAAATACTTTTTGTTTTCAAAATAAAAAAATTACGATTTTACTTTTTCATATGCATAATGGATACGTATTTTTTTGGTCTTTTCGTTATTCCTAGAAAGCAACGCCGAAAAAATAGCTAACGTGGCGTATAAGTGACTCATGCCATGTTTTCCATATTTCGTTTTTTTTTTGTTAATTTGAATTTTTATTTTATTTTTATTATCTTCTTTATTTGTTCCAATTTATTCGAAAAAAAAAAAATTTTTTTTTTATTTTTTTTTTTTTTTTTTGAAGCGGTCGACTGACCGGCCATTCAAGCGATTCGCTCGTTCGTCTTACTTAATTAGCATGACAATTAGTGTGATGTTACCACCGGTACGACGAACACCTCAAGCGCTGGTCGGTAGAGAAGAGAGGCGTCTAGCAAGGGGTAATTAAACTGTGAAATATATAGCGGTGCTGTGCTTGTACAAAACATACATACCTACATACATACATACATACGTACATACAGGAATGAATGTATGCTTAGAATATAAATTTTTCTATAGGCATAGGCGGTAACTATTCGTATTATAAAACTCATCGGCTTATTTGTGCACTTTCTAGTGCGCTAAGTGACGGTCAGTGGGTAACAAGTGCTTCGAACTTCGACGAGTTTTTTGTTGGCGCATTACTAATTAAAATCTTTTTAGATTTTTCTTCTTTTTTTTTTGGTTGTTGAAAAGTGCGATAAGCCGCAAAGCCAGCAAGCCAGCTGGATTTACAGATAACCTCGGTATGTGAAATTCATGCTTTGTTTGATTAAATAATGCGCTCTGCTAGCAACAAACATATGTGTATGTATGTAGACCCAGGCGTGTTTGGCCACACACGAGCCACTTTCGGCTGGAAGATTCGATGTGAACTACTGTTTCGAGATTTGATGAAATATTCACTACTTAGAAGATCACGTAGGCAGAATCAGTGTTGCCGTTGAGAATTTTCAGAAAGTCGCAAATAAGGGGCCATTCACGAAAAAAAGGGTCACCATATTATTTTTGCTTTTCTTTACTATGAAAAAGAATAAATCTGTTGAATTTAAAACGAAAATAGCAGGACAAGCTTTGCATAAAACATACACATATATCTAGTTGCTGCAAGGAGAATAGTTGTATTTCCTTTAAAAGTTTTAAGTGATGCATTTTTTAGTACTTACAGGAGGAAATATTTACTTTTAATAGCATGGTTTTGTTAACATTTCCCCAAAAAAAAACAAAAATCTCTGAAAAGAGGCAAAAGTCACACATAATCTTGGAAAAACGCTCAAAAAATTTAAATTTTCAAAAAGTCGGTTCAAAGGGTATCTATTGGCGTTTAAAAAGGGTCAAATTGCCCCTTTAGTCGCACAATGGCAACACTGGGCATAATAGACAATTTTTAACTTTGAATTTGTTGGGAATTTATGTATATTTAGTAGCAAGATAAAGCGTGAGGCACCTTTAGTTAATGGGCATTATTAGTTACTTATTCTCATTTTATACAAACGCGGGCATGAATTATTTTTATTTTATTTTTTTTGTTACTGTAGAAGTTTGGTTTTTCCTAATTTCATAGCTTAGGTTGTGCGTAGTTGAGTACATTTAAATTTAATTTAATTTGTCGTTGATTTGTTGGCGATGCTCGTTATCATATTGGCTGCTGAAGTGGATTGCGAAGTTGATTGACCTACATTTTTATGCTGCATGCTATATTATTTTTCAATGGATTTCTTTTTTCAATACACACATTTTTGTTTTTAATCTTTTTCAAACCTGCTTTCCAACTTTCTTCAAAACCTCTTAAATTTTTGTGTTTATGTTTTCATTCTTATCTATGTATTGTTTTGTTTGCAAGCCTTTTTTGAACCTTGTTTCCAAACGTTTCTAATTTTTTTTTCAAACAATTTTTCATAAAACTTTTTCCCAAATTTGTATATTTTTTTCAAATTTTTCTAAGCCTTTATTGCTTTTTTCTTTTCAATGCTTTTTTTAAAAAGAAAAATATTTTTTCTTATCAGCTCTAAAAACTTTTCAAAACTTTTTGGTAGCCTTTTTTGTAGCTTTTTTCAAAGCTTTTCCAATTTTTTCCCAATTAGTATATATATATGTATATTTTTCAAATTCACGCTAAACGACATTTTTACAATTTGGTCGACAATATTTTTTATTAATTTTATTTTTTCAAGTGTAATCTCAAAATCTATGACCATATCCTTGCAGGCTTTCTTTGCCCCTTTTCCAAGTATTTTGTCGTAAAATTTTGTAACATTTATTTTTTCAGATTTATGCATGTAGGTACTTTAATATTTTCTGCCAAAATTTGTTGAACACTTTTCAAAAAGTTTAATTTTAGTTTTTTAAATTTTCTATCATAACTTTTTAGAATTCTTTGAACCTTTTCAAATCTTTTTTAAATATGTACATACATATGTAGTTTTATTTTTTTTAATTTCTTCCCAATATTTTTAAAACTTTTTTTTTTGCAAATTTACGCCAAACAACTGCTGCAGCGTTTTATGTATTAATGTTTTTCTTCAAAATTTAAAAAAAGTTCAATTTTGTTTTCATTATTCAAATTTACTTACAAAGCATTTTAAATTTGTTGAGCCTTTTTCAACATTAGTTTTCAAAAGTTGAACGAATTTATTTTTTGAATTTTTTTTCTTTTTAATCCTTTTATTCAAATTATAATGCAGCTTTCTTATATTATAAACTTTTCTTTGAAACTTCTTAAATTTTTTTAATGTTTTTGTTTTTTATTTTTTCGATTTATAAATTTATGCTTTTCAAGCTTTTTTCATTTATTCTCAAAAGTTTTTTACTCCTATTTTTTAAAACTTTTTTGCAAAACAACTTTATTCAACTTTTCCGAAATGTTTTTAAACGCTTTATGAAATTTACTCAGCCTGTTTTTCAATCTTTTCACCAAGTTTATAATGTTGATTTTATATTTTTAAACGCTTTTAAAAACTATCTCAGAACTTAATTTAAAATTTTTTTACCAAATTTACGATTTTACTTCTGAAAGCTTTTTACTTTTCGCCCAAAATTTATTTTTTTCAATTTTGGTTTTAATTTTTTTTTTTGAAAATACATAGCAAAATATAGCATAGCATAGAATAGCATATACAAAATAGCTTCAATATTTCTCTAAAGCCTTTTTGCAAGCCTTTTAAAATTTCTCAATTAGATTTTTTAACACTTGCAATTTTTCTCAATAGGTTTTTCAGTACTCTGATTAAGGTTCCAATTTAGAATTAAACATTTAAATTTTGAAAATTTTAAAGATTGTCTAATATTTTTTTTTGTATTGTTTGATTATTTTAAAAGTATCTGCAAAAACTTTGCAATCCCTTTTCCACGTATTTTTTTTCTTCAAATTTAACGATTTTTTTAATTTTTTAAAACTTTTTTTCGGAATTTTTTTTTATTCTCAAAAGTTTTTTTTAACATGTTTGAACGGGGTTTCAATCAATTTTTTTTAGTGTTTAATATATTTAAAAAAATTTTTTTTTATACATATCTACATATTTTCATTGAAATATTTTTACTAAAATAACTACCTTATCCTAAAAAACTAATATATAAATTTCTCGCAATTAAAGCTAATCCCTATCTCACTATCGTTTTCCATTACAGACAATGAATATACACATGTTATTAATAGCACAGCTTGTGCTTTTTGCTGCCTGCATTCAGAGCAGAGCCATTGATGATGTTGACAATTCCATTGAGAATGTTGGTGGTGGTGACGCTGGTGGTGAAACACAAGTGCACCAACAACGCACACCTTTCGAACAGGATTGGATTAAATTTGCCAAGAAACCACCAACAAAACTGCTGCAAACCCTAGGCCAGCCCGTTGAGATCGTCTGCGAAGTGATGGGCTCACAAGTGCCCACCATACAATGGGTTGTGGGACATTTGCCGCTGTCTGAGGTGAGTTGTGTGAACCGAAGCAAA